AATTTTCTCATAATCTAATATTTTTTATTTTACATTGGCGGCGAAAGTACCCCCTTAAACGTGGTTAAGGTTATATTGTGCAAATGAAAATGTAAACAACCGAAGTACAGCGTTGCCAAATCACGGACAGGTTACTAGCAGTTGATTTGAAAGAGTCAAATTAATTTTTGTATTTAACTATTTTTTTTTTTTTTATTTTCAAAATTTCAACGATTAATACCTCATATACTATTTATTATTTAATTTTAGGAATTTTTATGGGTTTCTTTTTTTAATTTATCGTATATTGACTACTACAATTGTTTTGACTCAACTGGAGCGAAAGGATTTCCTTAAGAAGCTTTAGTGTATTGAAAAAAGTATTTATTTCCACCAAATAAGATTTGTTAATAGTTAACAAATATTTTGTTGGTGGTCGGTGTTGGTAGATGACTCTACTTAACGCGTAGTTGTAAATAAGTAGATTTGGCTATATTGGTTTACACCAACGCCTTGTACCTTATTTTTCTCTAATAAAAAAAAAAAAAAATAAGTATATATATATGTAAACTAATTGTAATTTCTCTTTTTATTATTTGTATCTTTTAATTACAATTTTCTTTTACTTCATTAAATATCTAATTCTCTGTAATTTTTGTAATTAAAATAAAACATTGAAACACGTTTTTGAGGAATTTTTTAAATATTCATCATCCAGTGTGTTGTATTAAATACTAATAAATGATTTATTAAATATTAATAAATCATTTTTTATATGTTAATAAATCGTTTATTAAATACTAATAAATATTTGGTTAGCACAAAAAAATAGCTGCTAATAAATGATTTATTAACTGTTAATAAATATTTGTTAAGGACCTATCCTCTAATAAATCATTTATTAAATATTAACAAATCCTTTTAAATACAAAAAAATCCTTCTATCAGTGCAGAAAACTGAGTCAGAGGCCGCCAATTGCTTCAAAATCATTTGGTGCGCTTGTGAGATATTTAATTTAAAAAGTAAAATCTTCAGGCCTACAAGATTATTCAACTTGAAAAAATTTTTCTGAATCCCTAAACCAAGAAAGAGAGTGCAAAAAAAAATTACGAATCTTTTTTTTCGTGCTATTACTTTGAATTGCGTGAGAACTATGAGTCTAAAATTTTTTTCATCGGGAGTTCCAAATACTAGAATTTTCTCAAGAGAACTCTTTTTTTTTTATCTTGATATTATTTTTACTCAAGCGAAACCCGTCAAAAATTACGACAAAGTTTTAAAATTTTTTTTACTACCTCAATTTTTGTTAGAAATATATTGCTTCAACTAACAATGTCTCTTTTTTGAGTGATTTGTTCCTCTCTTTTGGTTCTTTCGTACACGGGAAAAAATTTCTGGGAAAATTTACGATACAACTATTGTAAAGCTGGACTATACCTTTATTACTATTAATTATCAAATATTTTAGAAGAAAAAATACTATTTATTAATGAAAAAATACGATATTACTATTGTAAAAAGTAAGAGATGAAAATTTCCAGTGCTGCCTCTGTATCTTTCCAATAGAACTATAGCAAATTTTACAATAGTTGAATTGGAATGTCTCTCAATTAGTGTGAGTGATGGCCGTACACAGCGCTAGACTCTGAGTTTTTATATAAATGTTAAAGGACATGAGTCTTAGTTTACCGCGGATAGCCTAAAGGGAGAGTCTCTGGCTACCAACACAGAGTTCTGGGTTCGATTCCTAGATAGCACGAAAATAATTGTTTCTTTTTTCGATTACTGTACAGATACCAATTCGTGCAACCTTCTATCTCTCTCCCTCCCTAATATTTCTTTTAAATAAACCAACTGTGAATTTTTACAATAGTTGAATTGTAAAGTTCACAAACACATATTGTATAATTTGCTCTATAGTATACGACTTTTTAAAACTCTTGCTAGTCTTATTTGTTGGATAAAATTTACAATAGTAGATCGTAAAAATTACTAAATGAGAAGTATAGTCCACCGTTACTATTTTATTTAGTAAAAATTACAATAGTAAAATAGTAATAACTCCTTCAATTTTCTTCCCGTGTAGACTTATCGATGTGACGGGAATATTTTTATTTTAAAAGGGATTTTTATAGTCAAATTTGGTTTCATCAGAAAAGTCTTGATCTCAATTTGTGCCTTTTTACGATTTTATATATTTTTTACGATAGTCAATTTTCTATATTGAGTTCTTGGAGCAATTTTAAATAGCAAATTTTTTAGTTCTAAAAGTTTGTGTCTGTCACATTTTTTATTGAATTATTGGTAACTGATCCTGTCATAATAATATTATTATTATTATTAAAATAAATCTTAAAAGTATATGTATATTGTGATTAAAAATATCGAAAGATTGTCAAGCCAACGT